ATGAGGGCAAAATGTTATATCTTCCGTCCGCGTTTGCATACAAAGTTCATTGTCTGCACCGACTAAACGTGGCCCGACTAACTTTAAAGACGGATTACGATAGTCAATAACCAAGACTTTATACTAAACAGGAAAAATTCAACGGGTCGGATTTAATTAAGGAGGCACGACGGTACTTAAATGAGTATCAGAGGGCAGAATTTCAAATCTCCCGCCGCGTTGCATGCATACAAAGTTCATGCTCTACACCAAAATAAACGTGGGCCGCTAACTTTAAAGAAGGATTACGGACTTTTATTTTTATTTATTTATTTATACTAAACCGGTAAAATTCAACAGGCCGGATTTAATTAATGAGGCACGACGGAAACTCAATGAGTATGAGAGGGCAAAATGTTATATCTTCCGCCGCGTTTGCGTACAAAGTTCATGGTCTGCTGTGGAGTAAACGTGGCCCGCTAACTTTAAAGACGGATATTACGATATACGATAGACTTCAATTCTAATGCGATAGGACGAAAAAAACAAGGCGGGCCAAAAAAAACAGCATTCCTACATTTTCGAATTTTGACATGATAAACTTTTTAAACAAGAAATGATACCTACATTGTGCTAAGTTTATGGCCAACTATTACAACATCCATTTGTCACTGAAAAATAAAAGTTTTCAATGAATCATTGTACAAATGGTTTTGATTCAGTGGGAACATTACATATTTACAGCCACTATCACATGTAAAGGAATGAAATACACCACTGCATCAAAGTAAAAGACAAAACATAGGAATCAGAGCCTTGTCTTGTCCCCTCTCTTTATATTTATCTGCCACCCACGTTCCGGCATGGCAACAGACATTTTTTCAGCATGTTTGTTCATCACTGTCTGAGGGCAATAATTTTTGTCAAAATCAGGCGAAAATTGATGCGCACGCTGATGTTATCTATGAAAATTACTTGCCGTGGCTTTATATGTAAATACTAGAAATGCCTTCTTCGTTACAAAACTGTTATTGTATGGAAGATATGACCAACTTATATGTATATAATCCATGATTGAAATGAAAATACTGTGAAAAATGCATAATCCGTCAGTCGGAACGGTCAACAACATGTATTAAGCTAACGAAAGGGTACGTCACCTCGTAAGGGGTGGTTTAACCCCGACTAATACGGTCGACTGAATGCGGCTACAGGACATATCCACACGACTGTAGACGCAGAATACAGTAGATGATGATGATGATACGGTCGACCGATGATGATGAAATGACGTGTCCTCATTAATTATGCAAATGTATTCCTCATTTGCATCATTTCAATGCATTCATGTACAACTCTCTCTCAGCTACCTACATACCAAAAATGATGAAAATACGTTGTTCCTATCTGGACTTATTGGCTTTAAACGTTTTTCCAGAAACTAACCTGCAGTTCCAGAACAAGCTGCTAGGGGGACCAAACTTACACCACTTATTCCCGACAGGATAAGCTATCTGTCACCAAAAAATCAAGACCATAGCATGTTCAGGACAAAAGATACAAAAACCGAAAGTTCTGCTGCAGTACCGAGGTGATCCACCAGGAGGCCCATATTTGACCTTGACCTTCATCTTCCTAAGACTTACCAGCATACCAAATATCATCACAATCCATAAATGCGTTATGAAGTTATGCTGACTACAAATGTGCGGAAACACACACACACACAGACGCACCAAAAACAATACCTCCATTTTTCATGGAGGTAAATATAACATGGAGGTGAATATCTACACCTGACGAAAGCATGTATTCCATAAACTCTAGCTACCTTCGCCTAGATTATGTTGTCAGAGGCGTTCGTGTGTCTGTGAACAAGATAACTAGAGAAGGCATTGACGCATTGTCTTCATATTTGGTAGGTGGGTAGGTCTTGATGAGACCTCAAAATTATTAGATTTTGGGCCCACTGGCGGCTTTATATTGTACTGCAGCGGAACTTCCGGTTTTGATATTTCATGATCTAGACTTGCTAGGGTCACGAAATTTTGATGGTAGATAGCTCTTGTGCTGGGGATAAAGTTGGACATGAGTTTGAGCCCCCTAGCTCCTTGCTCTGGAACTGCAGGGCCGTTTGTTGAAAAATGTTTAAAGGAGGATAGCTCAAGAACCGATTAATGGATCATCGTGATTTTTTGTATGTAGGTAGCTTAAGTGATGCTTGACATAATTATGCGACAATTTGCATAATTTATGAGGAAATTCTATAAATCTGCTGCATTACATTATAGGACTATTCAAGCTTGTGACGTATGTAATTGAGAACAAGAGAAACACAGGCAGACATTGATTATGTAAATGAAGACTTAATTTGCATAATTAAAGAAAAATGTTATAATTCAATAATGGTAACTGCCTGGAATTTCATACTTGGGGTATTTGAAAGTTAAGTGAATATCATTAAACATAACTTATTCAAATAAGGACCTCATTTGCATAATGTATGGGGAAATGATAGAATGGCATTCTTTGTTAAAGGCGGGGTCACATTTCCCAACCCGAGGACCGGCCGGGCAGTCGTACGGAATGAAAATTATGATACAAGACAGCAAAACAAAGTTTTAGAAAATTAACCATGGGAACTATTTGCATATATTACTGATATAGATTGTTGATTTTTTGTTAATCGAAACAACCTGGCCGGGCCCCGGCTTGGAAATGTGACCGTGCCCTAAGATAAGACTGTTCTTTGGTGTTGAATATGTTCAACAGTTCATGCGATTGAGGATCCTAATTGCATAATCAGGGGGATTAATATATAATTTCATAAAGGCTAATATAATTTGGCGAAGGTATGACATAGTTATGTGACTTCTTGGTTAATTATACAAATTCGATATTGATTTGGATAATGGTTAGTACCTAATCATGACAGGTCACATATGCATCACTTAAGCTTCCCACATAAAACAAAAACACTACTACCGTTATCATTCACCTTGTTCTTGTGAGACATCCTCCTAAACACCCTGGCAGTTCCAGTACAGGCTGCTAGGGGGCGCAAACTTACGTCACTTCTTTCCGAGCAAAAAGCTATCCAAAATTCTTGACTCTTGACTATGCTGTAACATGTCCAGATCAAGAGATATCAAAACCAGATCCCAAAACCTAATCATTTTGATCACATCAAGACCTACCCAGGTACCAAGAAGTTAAGTCTCATGCATGACAATCCATCCATAGCTTCTTGAGTTATCATGCACACACACGTTTACGTTAACACATTGAGGGGTGACATAAGGCAAATACAAGGGAAGCTCTTTGACTTATACAAACAAGATTGGGCAATCAAAGTACATTTGAAGCCTAAACTAAGAATATATGCTCTGTTTAAAGATACTCACTGTATAGAAAGATATGTAACTTTTCTCACTGCTTAATTATTGGATCAATCCGCCAATGACGTCATCACACCCCATATAAGGGGCTGATAGCCCATTCACTCTGTGCATTTACTGGAAACATCCCCCCGGACCGGTTGGAGTCGCAGCGTCGTGGAGGTCTACCGGCCGACCAGCACGACAGCGTTTCGACAAGGAAGGAAGCACGGAGCGGAGACCGGAGTGCCTGGGGGAGAACTGCAAGGATTCTCGCTGACCAGTTTGGTCAAGGTTTGGCTAGTGTAGACGGTAGTGAGAGTCCAGAATTTTCGGCGTGTTTTTTGTGGCGCCACGGTTAGCGGGTAGGGCGAGGCGCGGCCTTGCTAGAGTGAGTTCGGTTTTC